CCCGGCGGCCCGCCGCAGCCCTGGGCAGGAGCGGCCGGGGCGTGGGTGAACTGAAATGCGGGCTCTGAGTCACGGGAGAATTATCCGGGGATAAAACTATTCGGTGGCTGAAGCGTCTGTGGGAGTCCTGGGCGAGAGAGGGCAACCGTACACTGCACGTCGAGCGGGGCTTATTAGGTTGCTTTCACTCTGATACTTTAAGCCAGACACTTTTTAGATAATTGACCTCTGCGGTAAAAGCATATTGTCACTGCCGGACTAAAGAGGTCGTTTTTTTCATACAAGCATACACACAAAGTGTCTGTTGGTATCTTGCATCCCCGTCATGTGTTGACTTCATTGCATCCAGGTGTCTTTGAAGACCATTCTGTTACTGGTCCCAGTGAACTCGTCGAAATGGTGAAGGTTTGCAGCATGAACAGGGCATGCATGGAGCTTCTCATTCTTTCTTTAGTAATAGAGCTTTATGCTTTTAAGGGTGAGCTTGGTTAAAGAATATATGCATTTTTAATATGCTTGAATTCTGCACATTGCTCTGTTTCACTAGCAGTTTTCTCAGCCCACATAGCTTCATCAAAGCAGTTAGTTTTAAAAGTAACCACGCTGAAACCTGATTCAAGCGAATACTTGTTTTTGTAGCCTATTTGATATTGTTCTTTTTTCCGTGCATTGAAAATAGAAGCCCTTTTTTTTTTTTTTTTCCGTTAACCTATTCCTAAGGTATTATGCAAGAGGAGATGCTGAAAATGCAATGCGATATATCAATGGAACCAGACTTGATGATAGGATCATAAGGACAGACTGGGATGCAGGATTTAAGGAGGGTAGACAGTATGGTCGTGGAAGATCAGGGGGCCAGGTAGGTTGTTGCACAGTCTCGTTTTTAGGACTGGTGACTTTGCCAAATTATTGTTTTTTAAATGAACGCACTCAGAACAACTTCAGAAAACTTCAGCAACTTACAAATTATTGTTTAAGATGGCACATTACATACCTTAGTCTGTAAGACATCTTATCGATGATGGTGTTATGCACTAAGAATAACTAACTTTTTCATGTATTTCACTGGAAGTACTTTCAGAAACTTCTTGGCTGCTTGGGGAGATAATGCTTATAAATAGGCCCAGAAAATGTAAGGCTGTCAAGAACACAAAGGACAGCATTTAGCTCACCTAAAGTTGAGCAGGTAGCAGATGCTTTTACTGCTGAAGCATGAGGCGAGGCATCCTCACTTTGGCTGTCTTGATTAAAGGGTCCCCCTGGGCATTATTAAAAAGGAAGTTAGTATATGCTGTATTCATCTTCTGCATGAGGCACTTTGCCTTCTGTTTTGTCAGTCAGCTCCTTGTGGCCACTTACATGTTGTGAACTCAGTTTGACTATGTTCTGATGGTGTAATAGTTTTTGAGAAATTGTTTGTCTTTGTCTTTACTGGACTTCCTTTTTTTCCTCCTTCGTAAGGTCCGAGATGAATATCGGCAAGACTATGATGCTGGAAGAGGTGGCTATGGCAAAACTGTTCAATGCCAGTGAATAGTGAATGACTCACCAGCCTCACGGGAGAACTAAATCTGCATTGTAAATGTCACCAGGCACAAAGTAGGTCTGTTGCACGCAAATTTATGTAGCTAGAAATTCACAGAAACTACTATCCGTGTTCCTGTGATCACATAATATGTTCAATATCTCTTCCGTTTTAATACCAGGATCCAAAGCATTGCAGAGTACACTACAGAGAGGACCTGGGAGCAAGGTTTTAAGCAATAGTATGCGTGAGGTGTTGGTCTCTAAATACTGCTGTAACTCTACTAAAAGGAACAAAAGTTTAATGGTATGGTGCTTTTTTTCACTGGCAAAACTTGATTATTCTGTCACTGGGTTTTGTTTACATTGGTATCACAGGGTGGAGAGCGGCGATAAAGGAGGATTGGTGTATGTTTCAGAGGTGAAAGAAAAAGGCAGAGAGCCTGAAAAGGAAGTGGAATTTCTAGGGAAATTTTCCAATTTCTAGGGAAGACTTAAAGTTGCAGATTTTCTGGGGTTACTGGATTAGCATCCTTCTGCACTGATGCTGTTCCTAGCACACCTACATGAATGGCCACAATAAAATTGATGAGTTCAGGAGTCATAAAGTGAGAAGCAAGTCTAGCAGAGAGCAGAAAACAGACCCTTGAGGTCTTCTACAAAGTACAATGTGACTGCACGACATCGCATGATTCGGAACCATTTTGCTTTGTGGGATACAGAGAAGAGCAAGTGTAAGAATTACAGTAGCAGTTACTTTCACAGTTGGAGTAGCACTGTTTTGCTCCTATCTGGTAGCTCTGTACGGCCTTAATATTTGAGGAACAGTATCTTTCCTGTGCCTACCAGGGTGGTATGAAGCCAAATTGTACAGTAACCCCCAAAAATGGGACATTTGAGGATCTGTGTGTGTAATGAGAAACTTTGTTCTCAAAATAGATTTTCTACTTGAGAAACTTGATTTCAGACAAAGGTAAAAATAAAAAAAGATGAGTTTTGGGAGGAGTCTTATTTTCTACTGAGTGTGTATTAAGAATGGTAAAATAATTGCAGGACTGTATAGATTTTTTTTTTTCTTTTTTCTGCTTCTGGTCCTATTAATACTGCCAGTTTATATGATGGGATTATGATGTACTGCTGACAAAGGAATAAAAATAATTAGTGACCCCAAGATCCGTGAAACTGACCTGCTGAAGTGAAATAGTTTAAAAGGAACTGTTACAGGGGTTTGGATTTTTTTTTTTTTAATGGACTTCTGAGTTCTTTGGAAATGGCAATTCATAAAGTTTTGTTCAAATACCTTGTTGTCCCTGACTCCTTAAAAACGTTTAAAATACCAGGTTTGTAAAAGTTGATCTTTACTCACTGAAGATGCTGTTGGAAATCTTGATGTGTCTCTTGTGTACGGTTAGTCACAACTGTTACTGTAAATTGGAAATACAGTGAGGTAGAACAACTGCAATGAGACTTTGCTTACTTAGGAAGTGAGGTTTTGTGTGGGCTTTGATTTTTTTGGCACGTAGAGTAAAACTAGATTTTCAGGATCACTTGGTGCTGGTCTGCAAACGAGACTTTGAACAAAGTTACTTTTTTCTATATAGTACATTTGATTATGAGTTTACAGCCTGTAATCTGCTCTAGGAAACCTCTGAAGTTTATTTTTCATTGTATCAATTTTGTATAAAAAATTGTGTTACCAAAACTCTAAGTCACTTTCAAATAAAGCTGCAACACTAAAATGGATTGTTATTTTTTTTTTAACAGAATCAGTGGGAGAAAGGAGCTATATCCAGACTCATGTCTACATCCTTTATTCTAGTGCCTGTTAAGATGGAGAGACTGAATATTGCTTCCCTTTGACTGGATTTTCAGTCTTGTTCAGTTCTTAACTGGATGCTGAAAGATGTTTGGTTAATGGTGTTTATTCTGGTACTTTCTGGATTACAGAACAGAAATTAAATCATTTACTGATATTGAAGTGGACGTGAAAGTCGTTGGTGTGTAACAGGTAGTTTTCAAGGTGCACTTCCGTATAAAAATAAGGTTTAAAATTCTTTTTTTATTGTAAATGCCGCAAGGCAGTCATTCTTAAATGAAATGGAGGTGGCAATAAGATTTTCCCTCAAAACCGTCACTGTCTTTTGCTGCATACGTGCAGTGTGTATGGTAAGATTTTGTTTTAAAGTGAGATTTTCTATTTTGAGAGACGTTTCAATCAAAATGGGATTTAAAAGCACATGATATATCATGTGAAGTCTTAGTATCTCAAAAGCACGTATAGAGGAAATTGATTGAACACGGTTTGATTTTTGCCTTCCCTAACTGAAGTTGGACATGGCTCTGCTGAAGCTAGTGCTCAACAGAAGTAACTGAATTAAGCATTTAAAACTTCACTGGGGGGCTTCTTTAGCTTTCTCACATGCCAGTCCATTGTGATTAGGTTCCCTTGGAAGTATAGGATCTCCTGTGATTTTTTTCACATGCTGGTTCATTATGGTTATACGCACTTTCATAGAAGTTTAAGCTCTATATTAGCTTTTCTAAATACTTGTGCATCATAATTAGGTACTTTTATGGAACTGTATCCATAAAGAAATACAGCATCCAGGAATATGAGTGGAAGCTTAGATATGCCTTGATGGAAGAGAGGCTGTTACAAATAAAGGCAGCGAGAGCTTCAGTCTCTCCCTCAGGCTCCCGTGCAGGCTCATGGTGGGTTGATTTATGTACCTCTCTTTAGCACCAATAGCTGGAAACAGGGTTTGTATTCACAGCATTTGAGCCTTTGTATTACAGTGTAAAATCAGTAGAATGTAAATTGGAGCCTTAAAGGCCTTCATTTTCAATGACTGACAAAATAATCCCTGTTACCAACGTACCCCTGCGGGCTAGTTTCAAGGTGGTCTTTATATTAGTCAGGTTACTTACTACCCTGCGCAGCAGCAAAGTGCCAGCTCAGGTTGGTGCCAATGCAACCACCGTTGGTGTTAATGTCATGGTTCTTTCTACGTAGAGAATTCTGAAAGACAAAATGATTAAAGTATTTAAGCTAATATCCAGCACCTCATCTTGTCAGATTAGACTTCTTGTGAAGGTAAAAATTAATGAACTCTGCTAAAATTGACGTGGTTTGTACAGAGGCTTTCATCTGTACAGTCAAAGACAATACTAGTCAAAGGAAAGCAGTCCACAGGGACTGAACATCTAATAAACTGTTGTCCATTTGAATTTCTAAAGCACAAATTGTACCTTACGCTGCAGCATATAAATGAAGAAGAATTAGAGTAGGCATTTTTCTTTGCAGTCTCTGGGATTTCTGCTCCTAGCTGAGTATATTTGGTACTTTCAGGTAAGTGTAGGTCCTGATACGACTACAGGTGAAGTACCAAAAAATTGGTGAAGGCTGCAGAGAGAAGCGTCCTGGGCTTCAACACGTCTATCATGTTTGGGAAGTAATGACCTAATTTATTAATTATCTGCTTTCATATGTCTCCTGCCTGTTCCTGTCTAAATAAGCTTTTGCTAAGGGGTTGGATATGCTCAGAGCTGCTCTCTAGTAATGCACACAACTCCTCTGCTCTCCTTTTTGGAGTAACTAGGTGGTGTAAATGCTTTGCATGGCTTGGGGGAGGAGGCCTCCCTGCCCTTGTCTGGCTAGGACCGGTGTTGAGTCCCAGCTTGTGACTGGTAGGTGTTATCGCCATTACTGCTTCTTCTCTTTGTCCGTCCCATGTAGGCAGAGGAAGGTTATTCAAGGTTGGCTGTGTTTGTATCCCAAGGTTTCAGTAATGGTGCAAACTGAAAACAGGCCTTGCTCCTTTTTCAAAAACATGTGCTCTATCCAGACTGGATGAGAAGCCATAGTAAAGGAAAGGGACAGTTTCTTTTTGGGTGTCATCTACTCAATTTTTAAGGATTAGTTTATGATTTGTGTGCTGAGGTAAAAGGCTTCTAGCAATAAAGCTCCTTCGAGGCTCATTTTCAGACCTTAAACTGGTTGAACGATGGAAATTAAGAGAGCTCACTGCTTTCTTCCACCTCCAGACACAGCCATCAGCACTGCACGAGGAGACACCACAGAAGTTTAAGTTAAGCAAATTGGTCATGGTCTTGTCTCTTCCACAGCCTTGTACAGCCCATAAGAGATGTGTACTCACAAAGTTAGTTCAGGCATCTGAAGTTCCCAGTATAGTGTCCCATTATAGACATAACCAGTCATGATCAATTCTAGAAAACAGAATTTGAAAGAAAAATAGATCACAAGCCTTTCATTATCACGTACATATATAATTTACTCCAAGCTTGGCCCAGAGAGGTCTTCTGCAGGTCCTACTTTCTTAATGCTTCACAGTTGCATTTTTTCTATAGCACGTTGTGGATCAGGATTGAGCAGAGTCTTCTATGTTCCATTCTAATTTATGGGCAAATGATCTGGGTCTGGAAAATCCATAAAAATATAGTATTTGTATGTTAAGACTGTGTAACTTCACCCAATGTCTGCACCACAAAGGGAGAAGGTATATTACGTCCCTGTCAGTTGAAGACAGAGCTACGTGAAGAGGAAACTTTCAGAAATTGCTTTTGAAAAGCAGGAGAAATCCATTCTTGTGTCAGGGTTGCACACTTTATGAAGATCACCTTCCTGCCACTCTGCTTCCCAACCAGCTTTCAAAAACAAAGATGTACTTTACTTCGGTGAAGTAATATTCTCCAAGATTATTTTAGCTTCTATCTGAAGGTTATTTGAGTGTCTATTAGGGTTCCTTACAGAAGAAGAAGGAAAAACAAACAAACAAAAAACAAAAACACAAAGCCGGTAAATAAGTATACAAACTCTTCTTTGCAACACTTAGTATGTTTAGATCTGACACAAATAATCTTTGCCTTTAGCAGAGCCATGAAATTTGAGTTTCAAACACTCGAGGAGCAGCACAAGTAGAATGCCAGATGGCTCCCTCTAGTGACTACAAAATTAGTGTGCTTTTATATTCTGACAGTGAAGACAGTTGCTGAAAGCTGTTTTGTGCAGCTGCATGTTGTACTGTCTCCAGATTTTGCTTTGGTTTGTGTTGTAAAAATGGACAAAAAACTAATTTTCATCTGTAGACCATTTTTTAGAGTGGAGGCAACTCGAGATCGGGATTTGTGGGTTTGTAGCCCATTGCTGTTTCCCTGTTCAGCAAC